CTACCCCAGTGAGCGAAATAAAGGGTTCAGTTTGACATTTCAGCCACCTGAAGAAGACCTAAATTTTCTTGTGAGCTTTGGTAATTTTTTTTTTTACTTTTAAAATCTATTGCTGGAATTTTTTTCCTGTTAAAATTATTGCTGGTATCTTTACTACAAAAATATATTTGTAAACATTCATAGTGTTTTGGCACCAGTTTTGAAGTTCACTATGTTCAACACGTTTAAGCGTGGGCGTGGGAACAACAGCAATTAAGAGTTAGTTCCATACTCCTCAACTCCCCCGGTTAAGGCAGCGGAGAACTTTGAGAGGGGAATTAACAGGCGATACCTGATAACGGACATCCATTAGACACGGCACGTGGAACTAGAACAGTCTACCTCAGCGAGCGAAATAAAGGGTTCAGGTCGACATTCCAACAACCTGAAGAAGGCCGGAGCGTATAACGGCCGAAACGTTGTAACAAATATGGCGACAAAGACGAGGACAATAGTCCGAGTAATGCAAATTATGTAAGGAAGGAAACGTAAGATATGACATTTCATAGTTAAATAAACTATTTAATTATTTTTTATACTATGAGTGGCTGTCTAATCTATCAGGCTATGTCAGACCATTTTGGGAGCCGCCATACTTTGTCGGGCGGTAATTAGAATAACTTAATTGTTACAGATTTACTTTTTAGCGTCCCTTTAACTACATGCTTTATTTATTTACTTATTATTAACTACGCTTTGTGTCTCGTCTCACCAATGCTATTTTTTTTTCTTCTTTTTTTCCTTTTGTTGTCTATACTTACCTTAATTCACTCCATGTGGCTTTCCCATTATTCAGATTAACGATGGGCTTCCGGTAAGATTTAAAGGAAAATAAAGCGGGCGGAGGTGGTGGGGTTTCTAATTTAAGAGTGTTATGTAAAGGACAGTTTTCTTTACCTATCATGAGATGTATTAATTTCTCTTTCTGTGCCCCTCTCTGTTTTTTTTTTGTTTTTTTTTCAATCTCCCTCCTACAAACTCTCCCACTTACGTACTTTTCATGTTTTTTTTTTTAATCATTTCACCCCAAGCAAGATGGGAGTGCCACTAGTACGCAAGGGGTTATAGAAAGTGAGAGAAAAAACTCGGTATAGGGTAGATCGAGTAAAGGATAAAAAATGAACGGGGTTCCAGACGACAGAAGATCGTGATTGACGTTGCCTTTTAAATTTTTAAAGATTTTAGATACCAGGGAAGCCAGAAAGCGGAAGGGAGTTCCACTGTCGGCAAGTGCGAGGAAATAAACTGTTCGAGTAGAAATGGTGGTTATATTTACCTGTTTCAACAGTAAAATGGTGGGACCTAGATGCCAATCTAGCAACTCGCTTAAAGTCACGGAGTCGGGGTACCAGGGAAAAAGGTTCGTCAGAGCAGTTGCTATGAAAATATTTGTAGAAAAAATCAGAGTGAGGCCACAACACGTCTGAGAAAGCAACTGAAGTCGAGATGCCAGGTTAGGATCGATTACATTGCAGACTCTTCTTTCGATTTTGGTCATAACTTCGATGAGCAGGAGAAGAACCAGAGTAGATATGGCAGCAGAATTCAAGGCATAGACGAATTATAGATTTGTAAATGTGCAAGATAAACTCTGACGAGAAAAAACCTTTCTGGCACGACACAATGAACCAACTTTCATTCACCTCATTCCTTTCCTTCTCTTTATCGTTCTTTGCATGTATCACTCTTTGTCTCTGCACTCTCCCCTCTCCCTCCCTCCTTTCTCTCCCTCCCTCATTTCTCTTATATATATATATATATATATATATATATATATATATATATATTGGATGCACGGTGGGGTAATGGTTAGCAGCTCTCCGGTCGATTCGACGTATGAGGGTCAAGCGGATTAGTTCCTAGGCACCGACAGCCCGACACCAGCACATAAGATTTGATTCTAGTGGTGAAGGTTTTGTGTAGAACCATCCACACTTTTTGAAGGGCCGAATACAGAGACCTGGTGCACTACGTTCCACAAGCTCCCCAAACGACCCTACGCAGGTTTTGAATTCAGTGTTGTCCTTCTCCTAGACCAGTTGCCATCCAAGGCTATAGAACCCAGTCTGTCCTGCTATTTACCCATAGCTGGAGGGAGAAGAAGATTCATACCTTTCCCAAGAGTATCAGCACGTAAGTGAATGTAATGGATTCGACTGGAATTCGAACTCGGCTCTCCGCTTCCTCAATCCGATAGACTGATTCCTGGTAGCCCATGCCTTAAAGAAAATACAAATCATTGTGCACACAATTACAGCTCACACATTATGAAGAGCTTTATCTATGTAAAATGTATGTGATCTTAGGTTACTTTTTTATGTTTTTTACAAAAATGATCAGTGAAAAATGACATGAAGACATTTCTGATCTTAGGTCTCTGATTGGGATCCGGAAGTAAATGTATATACAACAGAAATAAAAGGAATAATAATAATAATAATAATAATAATAATATTAGATTACCGTAAGACATTCGATAGCGTACCCCATTCATAGATTTTAAAGTCTTTAAATATATAAAAAAGTTAACACCCGTCGTCATCAGTTTCATTAAACAAAGTATGCCGATATAGCAAACAACTCTTCAACTCAGTCATATAAATGGAGTCTATAAGTCTGGTGCAAATAAACATCAACAGATGAATATTTCAAGGTGACTCTTTGTCTACCTTAATATTCTGTATATCCCTAATAGCATTAACCAGCGAGCTTAACAGGACGGAATATGACTATAAGATATCTCAAAAGAAAAATAAGCCATCTGTTTTACATGGATGACTTAAAGTTGTATGCTAGGAATGACAGTGAGTTGGAAGGTCTCCTGAAAACAGTAAAATGTTTCAGGGATGACATCGGAATGGAATTCAGTTTGGATAAATGTGCTAAAGCCACAATTTTACTTGGACCACTCCAACAAATCTCCTCTATTAGAGTAGACACTAGGGTAACACTCAAAGATTTAGAGCAAGAAGAAGCTTATAAGTACCTCGGTGTAAATGAGAGTGAAAACATTCACCGTAAAAAATAAAAAAGAATTAGTGCGAAAAGGGTACTATAGAAGGGTACGATATTAAGAACTGAATTGAATTCCCAGAACAGGATTATGGCCGTTAATAGCCTTGCTATCCCAGTGATTCAATATAGTTTCAACATCTTGAACTGGACTCTAAATGATATCAGACGAATGGATTTTAAGACAAGAAAGCTTCTTTCTAAGTATAACATGCATCATCCAAAGGTTGATGCAGACCGTCTATGCATACTCCGTAAATAAGGTGGAAAGTGTCTTATTCAGCTAGAATTGTCATACAAGACAACTATTGGCTTACTAACATACATGGAAACAACAAAAGAGTAGATGATACACTTAGTCAAACAACACAAAAACAAAGAAAACATATTCACTCATGAAATAAGGTTAGAAACACAAATGACATTTACATTTTATTAGATTCTGTTTTATGTATATAGCTTCATTCTTGAAGCTATATACATAAAACAGTTGAAAGATAACCTGAACAAAATAAAGTATGAAATCTCCACAAATATTCTTAAATGCCTATAATTGATAATAGAGGTCAGTGGTTTATACCAACGGCTTCCCACACTTAACACTTCTCGTTTTCACTCTCGCGTGGTCATGTATGACGTCACGAGCTGCGGTGCGAGTTTCACTACCGCGTCTTGCATACACGAGTTTGTCGTTGCTTGGAAATCTTTCATGCAACAAAAACAGACTATCATTATTGTTTTGTCCGCGTATTGTTTAATATTTTGAAATGTAATATATCACATTATGAAATGGACAAAGTCCGACATTTTTATGTTAATACATTCTTTTTATAGATACAAATATTTAAGTAAATGCTCTGTTTATAATAAACAGTATTAAACAACATTTACCGGCCTGAATGTCCGAGAAATTTTCACAGAAAATAATCGCCCTCCGACAGGATTCGAACCTGTGTTCGTATACGGAAGCGCCATTTAGCTTGACGTGCCCTTAACCGATTTAGCCACAGAGGAGATATATATATATATATATATATATATATATATATATATATATATATATATATATATATATATATATATATATATATATATATATATATATATATATATATATATATGATTGTGTATACGGAATGAATTCCAATAACCAAAAATTACTATTCTTAAAAAAGAGTGCTCAATACAAAGTAGAGCAGATATAGTTATTTATTTAAAAAAAAATTTATAACATAAACGTGTTATTAAAATCACTATAAAAATATCTATTTTGTTTCAGCACTCCCGGTGTCTTATCAAGTGATGATCACTTCATAAACACCGGGGGGGGGTTTGAAACAAAATGGATATTTTTGTAGTGATTTTATAACATATTTATGTTATAATTTTTTTAAAAATAAATAATTATATATATATATATATATATATATATATATATATATGTCACTGCAGAAACTATGTTTGAATTTATTTGTTTTTCACGTAAGGCATGAAACCAATTCCCCTTACAGCAGAAAGAAAAGCTTATTACTTCTGGAACCAATCCTCAATTCAAGACCAAGCCCTGTACGTGTGTAATCGCTTCTATCTCTTTCTATATACGTGTGAGTGTGAGGACGAGTGTGAGTGTGAGTGTGAGGGTGAGGGTGAGTGTGAGTATGAGGGTGAGTGTGAGTGTGAGTGTGAGGACAAGTGTGAGTGTGAGGACGAGTGTGAGTGTGAGGCTGAGGGTGAGAGTGAGCGTGAGTGTGAGTGTGAGGACGAGTGTGAGTGTGAGTGTGAGGGTGAGGGTGAGTGTGAGTGTGTTCTAATTGGGTCTAATTAATCTCGTTCAAATTCTCATCTTCGGTAACGGTCGTTAAAAAATTGTCTGCTCAGTGTTTCGTGATTTGCGGATATGGTTTTTCCTACGCAGAACAAAGAAGATGAAGACACGTGTTTATGATTTTATGATTTCATTTTTTTTCTCTCTCTCTTTTTTTATTCTTTCCTTCTTTTTTTTTCTTTCAAATTCTGTTTTTCTTTTTCTTTTCTTTCCTTTCTTTTTCTTTCTTTTTTTTTTTTCGTTTTGATTTTTTTCTTTTTCTTTCGAGGGAAAAGCTGCGATCCATGTGTCAATTACTCAATCCTTTCTTCAAAAGAAACGGCTCCCTTATTTAAAGTCCCTCCGCCTCCACACAAAAAAATTGCAACAATATATACACATTATTTTGTCTAGGCAAGCATTTTTTTTTTCACTGTCTCCCTTTTTTATTAAGTTATGAGTGTGCCCCTCCAGACCCTTATTTTTTTGCGGGGGGGGGGAGAGGAGGAATCTTTAAAAGAAATTAAAAGAAAGTGCGTTCGTGTATAGACATGTGTTTGAAAAATGTAAGTAATTTATTTATTCTATTTTATTTTTATTTTTTTAGCTCTCGAAGCAGTTGTTAGTTAAGGCTGCATAGATAATTTTCTCCTGTCTGTTCACACAATAGAAGGCACAAGAGCCGCTCAAGGTATAAAGAGGAGGAGGTAAGGAGTACAGGTTAAGGAAAGATGTTAAATCTAGAAGATTCTAGTGATCGGGAAGCATCCTCTCGGACGCCTGTTCCACAAAGTAGCGGTTTTTGGAAAGGTGTTCGAATGGGGCTTTGTTTCTAGTGTAAGTGTCATGGCGAGTCTTAACTGTAAAGGTCTGAACTTCTGGAACGAATGAATGCGGCTCATAAGGAGATTTTCTCTGGAAATAGCAATAGAGCAGCAAGGGGTTTGTGGCGTTGTGTCTGTGGAAAAGGGGTTTAAGGATGGAAAATAATTCATCACCCACAAGCCCGCGTAGACGCTTCTGAACTCAAAACTGGAAACCGAGATAGGGCAGTAATAATCTATAGAGAATTGGCCTGGGTCCACATAACGTAGCGTAGACGCTTCTGAACTTAAAACTGGAAAGTTTTCTGATACAATTCTTTGTTTGTTAGTGGGCATCTCCAACCGAGATATATATATATATATATATATATATTTAAGCATTACGCCCCAAGCAAGGCGTGAAGCCACTACGATGCAGGAGGTTGCGGAAGATTTGAAGCGAGAGCAGATAGGAGAGATAGAAGAAAGGATGAGGAGAAGGATAGTGGATAGATCAAGGTAACTGGAGATGTCGATTGACATTACATTTGAATAGTTGGAGATTATAGCTTTCAGGGAAACAGTAATAGGGTAGGGTGTTCCACTGGCGAGAGGTGCGAGGTATGAAGCTATTGGAGTAGAAGAGACGGCTACATTTGAAAGTTTCTACAGTGTAAGGGTGAGAGCGGGATGCCAGCCTCGTAGGGCGCTTGAATTCATGGAGTCTGGGAACCAGTGAAAGCAGCTCATCAGAGCAATTACCATGGAAGTATTTGTAGAAAAGACAGAGAGAGGCGTCTGTGAGAGAGTGACTGCAGACGAGACGCTAGATCAGGGCCAATTAGATTACATATCCGTCTCTGGATCTTGTCAAGAACTCCGAGGTAAGCAGAAGGTGCTCCAGCCCATATATGACAGCAATACTCCATGCAAGAGCGAATGGTTGTTTTGTATATTTGGCAGCAATAATCTATTTTTCTCCTGCTCTGTCCCTTGTGAAGATAGAGAATTGTGCTAGGCATACCAGGAAGGACTGCATAACCTAGCATATGTGCTGATTCTTTCAAACGTCTAACCACTCGTCTAGTATTTTTACTTCATTCCACAGATTTCAGTGACCATTTTGTCCTTTCATACATGATCGGCTATGCTTAATTTCATTGTTTCGTAACGTCTGTATTTTTCATTCTCAAGTGCCGTATACCGGTGGCGTTTTTCTGCTTCAAACAGTATAGGACCACTCAATCAGGGAAACTTGAACCCTGAGATTCCAAATCTGTGGCAGAAGGCGGGTTGTGTATGTGAAACTGATCATATGTCGCCTCCTCTGCTGTGGGGTGGGTTAATAAAAAGAATAGTAGTGTAGTACCCGCTCTATCCCAGATTTCTATCTATTTGGGTTCCTCAAATAATATTTATCCAGAAAGCGGCACCATACGGATGACGTTGCTGTTACTGAGGTGTTTTGGTACCACCAGTCGAGGTGGCTATTTATGCATTCGCGCATCGATCGTTAATGTTAATGGTTATATTAACCGTTTCCTTATAGAGAAACATTCTACATTCATTGCCACTTACGACTGAAATTATAAATTCTTTCACTTAAAAAAATTGTCAGGAAAATAGTTTTCTGATGTCCAGTATCTGTTATCGCTCTTGCCAATATTGATGGGAGTTTCCTTCCTAACCTTTTGTTTGAAGTCGTGTGGAACGTCGACATATTGATTATGTCATTATTTTCTTTTCGAGTTTCATGGGCTACCCATTTTATTTGTTACTGCTGTTGAATATCATCAGGTGACGTGGTTTCTGTTATCTGGTACAGTTCTTTGTTTGTGATTCTGTAGCGCCAGTCCACAAGTTTCGAAGGAGTTTGGCCTAAGCTAAGACCCGTGGCTTCGTTTGCTCAGAGCCATTGTCAACCAATGATCTGAGACAGTGCTTGGATACTACTGGGAGTTGAGATATTTTTAAATATTTAAAAAGAAAATTTATATATTTTCTGCTATTTTTCAGGAAATGTGCTGATTTTATCCTCCCATGCCTTTTTTTTAAAAATCATTTTCAGCAAATAATGACTCTCGTGGCTTTTTACACTCTTCTGAGAAATCAAAATTCAATTCCACGACGAAAGAGAACAACCGGCAATACACAGAATTACTTGTAGACCTGAAATTCTAAAAACCGAATTAGAAGCTGCACTGGCCAAATTAATATTCGAATAATTCTAATAGTCACTTTTTAAAACAATAAACACTGCCGAAGTGAGAAGATAGTTAAAAAAAAAACTGTATCACAGGAAAAACCGCCCTTTTGCCACTACGTCTAATTGAGAGCACATTTATCCATGTTTACCAAAATTTCATTCATAAAAAAAGGCTACTTAAAGTTCAGACAAAATGGATATTCCAAAAGTGAAGGGAACCTTTCCATGCCAATTTTTTCTTGGTCATCAAAGAAACATATAGTCCTGTCTTATACTGATCGAATAATCCAGCTTTTTCTCTTAATTAATTCCAGACGTACCTCATCAATAGTTTTTTTTTTTATAATCAATTCACCCTAAGCAAGGCGACAATGCCACTAAGACGCAAAAGACTACTGGGAGTGAAAGAGAATGAAAATACTTTAGAAGGAACCGGAAACCCATTCCTAAGCAGGAAACAAGGTATAAATATCTACTCCTGTTCAAAAAAAAAGGAGGAGAGTAAACTGGGCAATAGGCGAACCTATCTACTCCTATTGAGGAGTAATAAAATAATAAAATAAATAAATAATTAGTAAATAAAATTTTAGGGTTTATGCGAGGGCGTTAGAAGTAGATAGCTGAAGTAGACTTTAGAAGGAACCAGAAACCCAATCTTAAACAGAAAACAAGGGATAAACCTCCACTCATGTTCAAAAAAACTGGGGAGGAGTGTGAACCGGGCGAATGGCGAACCTATCTGTTAAATAGGAATAAATTGTCGCTGCCGACACTTGAGTTTGAACATAGATCGTCAGTGAGAAAACACAGGCGATCCCATTATTGAATTTAGTAGAGCACGCGACCATAGAGTAAACGCCTAAGTAGGAATTAGCTTTGCGTCGAAGGGATCGTCATTTCTATTTCACCTCTATCACTATATGGACCGCTATTCTCTATTCTCTTCTCTACACTATTCTCTATTCGGATCAATACAGTGGTTACTGTTCGAGCGAGTATTATCGAGCAAGTGCTATTAGTACAGGTGATATTCGAAGGCGTCTGACACCAGTATTGTTCAACGGTGTTACTATAGTTTGTATCTGCGATTGCAAAGTCTCTACTACAACAAGCATTACGAAAGTGTCAACGAATATTTGTTGACATTACAAAAGTGTCAAACGAGTGTCCGTTGAGTCACAAAACTATCTAATCCTATATATTGTCTAATATGTTATGCTGTTTTTAGATGATCTGTCTGGGAGCAATAATTCTTCAAATATTAAGCAACATTTTCATTTAAAATTGGTAATAACTTTAATAAAGTAATATCTTCATTTCTTAAAGTAAGTGTCACGTTTAATTTAATGCATTTAAAATATTTAAAATCAATTTAATACAGTTTCAACATCCTTAACTTGACCATAGCTGACATTAAGCGAATGGACGCCAAAACGAGAAAGCTTCTCACCGAGCCACCGCATGCACCATCCCAAAGCTGATGTTGATCGTCTGTATGTGCCCAGATCCGAAGGTGGAAGAGGATTAGTTCAACTAGAACTGTCTTACAAAACTACAATTAGCCTTCAAAGATAGGTAGAAACTACAGAAAACTGGATGATGATATGTGTCAAAGAACATGAAAGTAATAAGCAACTTTATTCAGTTATAAAGGAAGCAAAGTTCAAAATAGAATTTCAAGTGGGTGAAAAAACTCAATTAAAGCATAATACACTGACTGCAGCTGCAAAATAGTTAAAAAAAAAAAAAGATAAATCAAACGCAAATGCAACCGACCACATACAGAAACGATAGTAAGATAAACGGCTTCACGGTCAATACTCTGCACGTACCAAGCAAGCTAATTTAGACAAACTGCGTATCCATCAGTGCCTACGTAGTGTAGGGTTAAAAGATAAAACCGAAGGTTTTATTCTTACTGTACAGGACCAACGCTTGCTAACTAGAAATTATAAAACAGATATACTGAAAAATTGTGTTAGCCCAAATTACGGATTCTCTGATAAATATCCAGAAATAATTGACAATTTTGTACTAGGTTGCGCGGTAATTGCACCCACGGAAAAAAACACTCGGCATGACAGTGTGGCCAATATCTGCACTGGAAAATCTGCAACTTTTGCGGAAAAGAAATTGCAAGGAAATGGTATGAACACCACCAGGCCCGGTTACGAAGATAGGACCTGTAACAATTTTACTGGGCTTTACAATACCCACAGACAGAACAATCAATTCTAATCGCCCTGACATCGTGATTAGAGACCACAAAGACAAAATGTGCCTCCTTATTGACATGGCAGTCCCTGCAGACTGCAATGTATCTTTGAAGATCTTCAAAAAACTATCAAAATACAAGGACCTTGAAATCGAAATCTCAAAAATGTGGCATATGAGGACATCACTAATTCCAGTTGTAGTTGGAGACCTTGGATTGGCTGAAAAAGATTCCAATAGACTCATTGAATGGATACCTGGTAAACCTTAAAGAAATGCAAAACAGTTGTTCTAACAAGTACAGCCCACGCTTGACTATGTAAATTTTTTTTTCCAAAACTGCTCAGAGGAAAATTTCATGATGACATTTCTAACCTTAGATCTCTGGTCGGAAAAGGAAAAGGAATAATAATAATAATAATAATAATAATAATAATAATAATAATAATAATAATAAAAACAATCAATGTTTCCTATTTTCATTCACTTACGGTGTTAAAACCTATAAACGAAAACGAAAAATTTTGGAGAACTAAAAGGAAACATACACGTTGTTATAACAGTTGCACAATACAGTCAAAAGCGATCTTTACGTTGGCTATAACTAAACTCTCCTAATACTATCTAACGATAAACATAACGAACATTTTATGTGTGTATATCAATTGTGTATATCAATCACGCATTATTGACGTATGGATTTAAAATGGTAAATAAAGTATTTAGAAAACGGAAAATGTCGTTAGAAACAAAAAAGCGTTGAACTGCATTTGAATAGCAAACGATTTATTCCAAAACCTAAGCAAAGTACTAAGAAACAGAAATATTTCATTAGAAACAACGAAAAGAGTGCCAGACTGCTATATCCATCTCCGCATAAATGTTCGACAATTTCGTCACAAATGAAACGAAAACTGGAAAATGTTGGTTCTACGGAAGGATACTGAGAATAGCTTGGACGTAGCATGCGAAAAACTAAGAGGTTTTAAAGAAAATAGGAACGAAAAGGACATTTGTGCCTAGGATCAGAAATTTCATTTGAAATTTCTGGGATACATAATGAGAAAAGTGGGCTTGGAGAATTTGACACTCACGGGGCATATTGAAGTCAATAGGGACAAAAGAAAGCAATGAGAAAACCCAGATGAAGGACTTTGTCCAAATGGTTGGCAACACAGGGACTGGGGAAAAATGACAAGGAAACACGCGTTGCTTACAGCTAACGGGAATAGGAAATTGTGGAAATCCCCTGATCGCTCACGACTTCAAAATATCACGGTACATAACAGACAGAATGAAGTTCTTAAATGGGCCTCTCTCCTGGGTGTGAAATATTTCAGAGCCAGGACTTGTATGCTAATTTTCAAAACGCTATTATATATTTGGACTTGTAGCGAATGTTGGATGGTCTCCACAAAGATGAAGAAGAGACGCGAGCAACGGAGGTATGGTTCTACAGAAGGATGCTGAGAATAACATGAACCGAACATGTGAGGTTTTAGACCGGATGCAAACAAGGAGAAAGGTTATACAGTGTAACCCGGATATAAGAGACCCGGATATAAGAGAAACCGGGATATAAGAGAGATTTTCTCTGGTCCCAAATTAGAGCCTGTGTTAATGCATATAAAATAGACCAAACCCGGATATAAGAGAAACCCGGATATAAGATACTTCTTCTCCGGTCCCGACAACTCTTATATCCGGGTTACACTGTATATACAGTGTAACCCGGATATAAGAGACCCGGATATAAGAGAGATTTTCTCTGGTCCCAAATTAGAGCCTGTGTTAATGTATATAAAATAGACCAAACCCGGATATAAGAGAAACCCGGATATAAGATACTTCTTCTCCGGTCCCGACAACTCTCTTATATCCGGGTTACACTGTAATTAACATCACGAAGAGGCAGCTGAAATTTCTGGGACACGTAATGAGAAAGGTTGGGTTGGAGAATCTGATACTCACAGGGCGGATAGTGGAAAAGAGAGACAAGGAAAAGCAACTCGTGACATACCTAGCTGGATTAAGCAAACGGATGGCAGAACAGAACAAAACATATTGAGATCTACAAGTGATAGGGGGAGTGGAGAGCCATGATCGTCTACGTCCTGAAGGGACACGGCACATAGAAGAAGAAGAAGAAGAAGAAGAAGAAGAAGAAGAAGAAGAAGAAGAAGAAGAAGAAGAAACTGTATTAAGTTATTCTTGGTAACCGCTGTAGAAGTATACGTGCGCGGATAGGCATCTGTACGGATAAGGGCGATGTCTGTGCTATTTTATCGTTGTAATAACAAACTAGTCTTGCAAATTTTTAAAAATATCTTCTTTTTTTTTAATTTAAATGTAAAAAAAAAAAAAACAGAAAAAGAAAAAATAAAGTCTTATGAGTTATTTTTTTCTTTTCTTTTTTTCTTTTTAATTTATTTATTTTATTTTCTCTTCAGTTGTTCCCATAGAAAAGGGTATTTTCCCTACGTGCCCCGGGGGGTCAAACGACCGACCCTACTTTGTTGTTTCGACTCTATGTTATCACAATCACTGCCCAACGAAAGCACAATCACAATATTTTGATAACCGATCTAATACACCAGTGAAGACAAAAAAGGTCCCATTTTTGCTTCCTACGACAGGACGTATATTTTCTTCTTTTCAATTTTATGCAGACGATAAAAGCAGAAAGAAGAAGCTAAAGCCCGTTATGTATCGTAATTGAGGCACCAAAAATCTAGTCTTTAATAATAAAGGACTATTTTGCTTCTTACTTTAAAATTATTATTATTATTATTATTATTATTATAGTAAATAGATTATAAATTCAGGTCGGCAAAAATTCACATATGTTTTCGTTTCTACACTGTTTTATCTATCTATCTATCTATCTATCTATCTATGAGTCTGTCCATTATCTATCTATTACAATCTGTTTATTATCTATCTATCTATCTATCTATCTATCTATCTATCTATCTATCTATCTATCTATCTATGAGTCTGTCCATTATCCATCTATTACAATCTGTTCATCTATCTATCTATCTATCTATCTATCTATCTATCTATGAGTCTGTCCATTATCTATCTATCTATCTATCTATCTATCTATCTATCTATCTATCTATGATTCTGTTCAGCTATCAGACTGGTCATTATCTATCTACTTATCTAATACTGTTCAGATCTATCTATCTATCTATCTATCTATCTATCTATCTATCTATCTATCTTAATTCTTTCCTTTTCTTTTTTACCTCGCTCTCTTTTCTTCACCTCACTTCTGGTTTCTTTTTCTCGCTCTTTTCGTCTCTTTTTTTCATTTTCTTCTTTCTCCTATTCCTCCTCTTCTATCACCTCTCCCTCTCTCTCTCTCTCTCTCTTCCGCACTTCTTTGTCTTTTGTCCCTTTTTTATCACTTCTGCCTATGATTGGACGTTTCTTTCGTTTTCATTCTTCGCCACCTTTCTCTCTCTCTATTTCTATCTCTGTCTCTTTCTCTCACTTTCTCCCTCCCTCTCTCTTTCTGTTGTATTATTTTACTTTGGATTTTTCTCTATTTCATTTGCATTGGTGTCCTTTCTTTCTATCTTTCTATTTCCTTTATACACACACACACACACACACACACACACACACACACACACACACACATACATACATACATATATATATATATATATATATATATATATATATATATATATATATATATTTAATATATCACTAATTTTTTTTCTTATTTCTATATTTGCTTTTGGGTTATTCCATCTTAAATCAACCAACTGTCATAGGTGACTCTCTCAGAAAAATCTGGGAAAATTCACAGGTGTCTCTTGATAAAAATTAGTGATAAATCCCAGACATTAGAATTGTATCTTTAATAGATTTAACATGAGAGCATATAAAAATTTCACTGCATTTTTTTGCGTTTTGGTAAATAACATTTTCAATGGAATTCTAAAATACATTCAGATATTTCTTCTACAGATTTTAAGCTTGGTGACATTAATTAATATTTACTGTAAATTACAAAAATAAAAACAGCTTATGTTTGTTTTATTTCCTTTGAAGTTTAAAACGAAGTGAAAATGGTTGAAAGTGCAAAGAGCAAAAGGATGCAGTCCATTTTGAGAGTTTCTCATTTCCAAAGAATGTTGGATACAGAATCCAAAGCAAAAAGGAAAGAGAAAAAGGAAAAGAAAAAAAATCAAGAAAGGTAGAGGTAGGGAGAGTCGGAAAACAAAATCAAAAGAATGGAAAAAAGAAAGAAACAAATGAAAAAGAAAGAAAGAAAGAAAGAAAGAAAGAAAGAAAGAAAGAAAGAATTAAAGAAAGAAAGAAAGAAAGAAAGAAGGAAAAGAAAAGTGTGAAAATTTTTTTAGAAAATACTATAATAATGAATTGGAAAAAGAAATAGCGAATGAGAAAGACGTACGAAAAGCAAGACAGATTAAAGAGAAAGAAAGAAAGATTATGAAAAATATCCGAAACAGTATTAGAAAGAAAGAAAGAAAGAACAGAAGAAAGAAAGAAAGAAAGAAAGAAAGAAAGAACGAGAGAAAGAAAGTATGAGAAAAAGATAGAAAGAAAGAATGAAAAATGAAAGAAAGAAAAAATGAAAACAAAGGAAGAAAGAATGAATGAAAGAAAGAAAGAATGAATGAATGAAAGAATGAAAAAAGAATGAAAGAAAGAAAGAAGAAGGAAAGAAAGAAAAAAGTGGGAAATAAAGAAAGAAAGAAAAAGAAAGAAAGTATGAGAGAAGGAAATAAAGAAGGAAAGAATGTATGAGAGAAATATAGAAAGAAAAGATGAAAAAAGAAAGAAAAAATTAAAATAAAGGAAGAAAGAATGAAAGAAAGAAAAACTAAAGAAGAAGGAAAGAAAGAAAAAGCAAGAAATAAAGAAAGAAAAAAGAAAGAAAAAATGAGAGAAAGAAAGAAGGAAAAATGTTTGATAGGAAGATAGAAAGAAAGAATGAAAAAAGAAAGAAAGAAAAAATGAAAACAAAGGAAGAAAGAATGAAAGAAAGAAAGAAGGAAAAATGTGCGCATGAAAAAAAGAAAAAAAAGAAAAAACAAGAAATAAAGAAAGAAAAAAGAAAGAAAGAAAAAAGAAAGAAATGTGTGGCCAAAAGAGAAAGTGAGAATAGCATAAAAATAAAAGGATAAAGAAAAAAAGAGAAGATGAAGTCGACTATAGAAAGAAAGAAAGAAAGAAAGAAAGAAAGAAAGAAGGTAAAAAGTGGGGAAGAAAAAAAAGGAAGAAAGAAAAAGCAAGAAATAAAGAAAGAAAGAAAAAAGAAAGAAAAAAGAAAGAAGGAAAAACGAGGGGTAGAAAAAAAGAAAGAAAGAAAAAGCAAGAAAGAAAGAAAGAAAAAAGAAAGAAAGAAAAAAGAAAGAAATGTGTGGCCAAAAGAGAAAGAGGGTATAGCATAAAAATAAAAGAATAAAGGAAAAAAGAGAAGATGAAGTCCACTATAGAAAGAAAGAAAGAAAGAAAGAAAGAAGGAAAAACGAGGGGAAGAAAAAAGAAAGAAAGAAAAAAGAAAGAAATGTGTGGCCAAAAGAGAAAGGGGGAATAGCATAAAAATAAAAGAATAAAGGAAAAAAAGAGAAGATGAAGTCCACTATAAAAAGACAGGAAAGAAAAGAAAAGAAAAGAGTAGTAGAAGAAAAAGATCGATGAAATAATAAAGTGTCAGACTCCATCTTACCACCTCCTACTCCAAACAACATTTGAACAGCCTATCTACCAACTTATCTCTTATTCTCCACACCCGCTCCCCCCTTTGACTATGCGGTGAGAGCCGCGTGCTCCCACCAATCCCTAAACTACCGATTTTTTTCAAAACCCGAGCCAACTATGCGCTTTACCGAGAATATGTCAGATGGATTTTTAATCTACCTCATAATGACTGAGAAGTTTCGAAAAGTCTGGGAAGGGGAGATAATTGCTGGCAGACCGCCACATTGGACATTACATGAGTTAAGAGAAGTTAGGGTTTGAGATGCTAATGTGGACCGATATATCTCCTTCGCTTCACATGTTCGCCTGTTATTTACTCGGGGTTCGTTTTTGCCCCTGTCTAAAGAAAGTCACTGCTTCTCCCCAAAATCGTAATAGAACCGTACTCTGGGCAGAAATTTACAGCATAGTCTTCTTCTACGCGCCCTGTCCCTTCAGGTCGTGGACGACCGTGCCTCTCCCCAACCACCTACCCCACGTAGCTCTTAGCAACCTCTTGTCTCTTTGACAAGCCTCTCACCCGACTCCTCCGTCCATACACGCAAGTTGGTCAGGTATGTATTCTGCTGTCTTCCCCTGTCCATTTTACCTTCGGTATGTCTTGTGAGTGTCAAATTCTCCAAGCACACTTTCCTCATTATGTGCCCAAGACATCTGTGCCGTCTCTTTCTGATTCTATGAGCGCTTTTTTTAAAATTTTTCCATCTCGATTTTTTTGTTGCTTACGCGCTCCGTACATGGTATTCTCAGCATCCTTCTGTAGAATTAAATAGCCTTTTGTCTCCAGTTTTCATCTATGAAACGATTGTCCGGCATTTAATGCCTTCAAAAAGCTAAGCAAAGTATTAAGAGACCGGAAAATTGCATAAGAAACAAAAAAGAGTGTTGAACTGTTATGTAATATCGGTACTCCAATATAGCAGTGAATGTTGGACAATCGCCCCACACAAGAATGAGAGACTTGGGGCAACTGAAATCTGGTTCCACAGAAAGGTATTAAGAATACCATGAAGGGAACATGCGAGCAAGAAAGAGTTTTCAGGAAAATGCAAACAAAATGGACACTTAGAATTAGAAAAAGACAATTCAAATCTTTAGTGAACATCATGAGGAAAGGAGGCTTTGAGAATTTGATACTGACAGGTCTTATTGAAAGTTAGAAAGACAGAGGAGAATACAGAATAACCTAACGAATGAACCTGTGAAAATGGTTGGCAGAACAAGGGATAGTAGTGATAAAAAGGCAATCTTTACTCAGATCTACAAAAGACAGGAAGTTATGGAGACCCGCTATCGCCCACGTTCAGAAGAGATACGGAACATAAAAGAAGAATGGTCAAAGTAACCGCTTCTATACAGAAAACTTTCGACATTCATTCAATTTAGTGCTACTGCTGTTTGAAATAAAATCTTTATCTAAAATCAGTTTTCAGGTCATTAGACTTCAATGTAAGGTGTTTTCATTTTAAAATCGTATGTAATGCATTTTTATAGTAAAATAATTTCCAATACATTTTTAGAGTAAAATCATTTTTTAATGCATTTTTATAATAAAATCATTAGCAATACAATTTTTTAATAAAATCTTTTTCCAATGCATTCTTAAAGAAAATATTTTAATGCATTTTTATCGTAAAATAATTTTCAGTACATTTAGCAAAATGATTTTCAATGCATTCTAATAATAAAATGATTTTAAATATCTTTTAGAGTAAAATAACTTTCAATGCATTCTTATAGTAAAATCATTTTAAATGCATTTTTATTGTAAAATCATTTCCAATGCATTTTTATAGTAAAATTATTTCAAATTCATTTTTATAGTAAAATCATTTTCAATGCATTTTTATAGTAAAAACTTTTACAATGTATGTTTTATAGTAAAAACATTTACAATGTATGTTTTATAGTAAAATTATCTACCATTCGTCCGTCCATTGAATACTGTTGCCATATCTGGTCTGGTGCTTCTGCTGTACATCTCAAGATTCTTGACAAAATCCAAAAAAGAATCTGTAATATTAATGGCCCTGACCAATCATCTCGACTTCAGTCATTTTCTCACTGGCGTAAGGTGGCTTCCTTCTGTCTTTCTTTATAAATATTGTCATGGCAACTGCTCTGAGAAGCATTTTTCCTGCTGGTCCGACGACATGAATTTAAATGTGTTAATAGATTGGCAACTAGGTAACACAACTTTTAATGCTGAAATAGTTAAATGTAACCACGTGTTTCTTTTCTCGTAATTCTCACCTGTGGAACTACCTTCCGTTTTCTTGCTTCCCTGATAACCAAAATCGTCAAAGATTTTAGGTGCAACATCAATCGCCATTTTCTATCTTCTTGAAAACTTTTCCATTTTTTTGTTCTTCCCACAATCCTCGCCATTCTGTCTTTCATTTTCACTTTCATTCCCTGTAACCACCTGCAAACTAGTGACTTTACCGCTTTGCATGGAGTAAAATTAAAATTAAAATTTTTAAATTATTTTAAATAATTACCAATGCATTTTTTTACAGTAAAATCATTTCCAAGAATTTTCATAGTAAAAGTATTTTCAATACATTTTATAGTAAAATCATTTCCAATGCATTTTTTCAATAAAGTGATCTTCAGTGCATTTTTATATAAAAATCACTTCCAATAAATTTTTACTAAAATCATTTTCAATGCATTTTTACAATAAAATCATCTCCAGTGCATTTTATACTAAAATCATTTCCAATACATTTTTATACTAAAATCATTTCCAATGAATTTTATACTAAAATCATTTCCAATGAATTTTATACTAAAATCATTTCAATACATTTTTATACTAAAATCATTTCCAATGAATTTTATACTAAAATCATTTTCAATGAATTTTTATACTAAAATCATTTCCAATGAATTTTTATACTAAAATCATTTCCAATGAATTTTATACTAAAATCATTTCCAATGCGTTTTTACAATAAAATTATCTCCGGTGCATTTTTATATTAAAATCATTTTCAATGGATTTTATCGTAAAATAATTTACAATGCATTTTTTATAATAAAATAATTTACAATGCATTTTATTGTAAAATAATTTGACCAGCTAATTATAATGGGGAAATAATCTGTTCCCATTTAGTATCGGTTAAAATTTATAAAACATTTTTCGGAAAATTAGTCTTTTCAATACCTCTAACTGTTATAGCTCTTTCTAGGTACCGATGGGAGTTTCTTTGTACGCTTCTGGTGTCGTATTGTTTTTTATTTTAATCATTATTATTATTATTATTATTATTATATCCCGCATTGTATTAGTAACCAATATTTATGCATATATGTATCTAACTTTTTACATTCTTTCAGTTCTATCCAATGGTCCGCAGAATCTTTGAAATTCACCACCTGGCATTTTTTTAATGCCAAATCGGGTTGGGTTATTGTTTAGAATCTCAAAATCCCAGGGAATTTTGCTTTCATTTTCTGGAACAGAACCTGGCTTGTGTAGTTACTATTTGTCTTTTAGTCAAAATATATACGGATTAGTTAATTGAATGACTCTCTATGTAGTGGACTCATCCGGTGATGTAGTCGCCCTTTCCCACTCTTTAGTTGATTTGCTGCTATTCCAGTCTTTTTTCCCTGAGTTCTTCAGCACCATTCCTGGTTCTCTAATAACTAATATCATTATCATGTTTCACAACTTGCTCACCCTCTCTGACAAGGTTGAAATATTTATCTGGTTTTTTTTTCCACTTTCCTGCAGATCTATTTTGTTTTCTGCATAAACAGGGACAGCCAGCACCTAGCGTATTATCTTCATTTTGTTTACGACGGCCGGATCCGATATCCTCTCCTGGAATGTACGGTCTGTTTGAATCTCAAATTCCCAGTGTATAAGAAGTCAAGTTTCTTTCTTTTTATATATTGTTTTTTTCTTTTCCCTTCATTCCCTTTTTTTTTCTTTATTTCCATTTCCTTTTCTTTTTCTTGAGAGAGTGAGAGTGAGAGAGAGTGAGAAAAAGAGAGGGAGGGAGAGAGAGAGTGAGAGAGGGAGTGAGAGGAGGAAGGGAGAGGGAGAGAGAAGAGAGAGAGTGAGAAAAAGAGAGGGAGTGAGAGAGAGTGAGAGGAGAGAGGGAGGGAGAGAGAGAGAGAGGGAGAGAGGGGGGAGGGGGGAGAGAGGAGAGAGAGTGAGAAAAGAGAGGGTGGTAGAGAGGGAGAGGGAGAGAGGGGAGGGGGAGGAGGGAGAGAGGAGAGTGAAAAAGAGGGAGAGAGAGAGGGGAGAGAGAGAGGGAGAGAAAGAGAGAGAGGGGAGAAAGATAGAGGGAGGGAGAGAGAGATATTTTCATATGCTTTTTTTGCCTTGCATTACAATGAGGAGACTTCAATACCAGTAATCCTCAAGAACACATGGCGCAGTGGATAAAGGCGTTGGTGAGTACCAGTGACAGGACCCAAAGAGTGTGAGTTCAATACCTGGTTAAGGCAGTGGAGAATTTCAGAGGGAAAATTAACTGATAACTGACATCCATCAAACATGGAACTAGAACAGTCTACCCCAGTGAGCGAAAAGGGTTCAGTTCGTCATTCCAACCACCTGAAGAAAGTCGGAGCGTACAACGGCCGAAACGTTGTAATGAATATTGCGACAAAGATGAGGTCAATAGTCCGAATAATGTACATAATACCTCATCTCAGAAATATAGACAGACAGTAATCCTCTATCTTACAAAGCACTGCGGCCTTAGAGTTACGAGAACATATAACCAAAGACTGTTAGAATCGTATCCTCTATATACCATGTCTCTTCAGGAGGTAGGTGATCATGACTCTCCATAATTTCCTGTCCTTTGTAACTCTTAATAAACTGTATATTTTTGTTATCTCTCCTAAACCCTATTCCGCCACTAAACATGTTATGCGTTTTTTCCTCTGTCCCTATTGTTTTTAATCTGTTCTGTGAGTATTAGATTTCCCAATCTCTCTTTCCTCATTATCTGCCCAATAAATATCAACTGTCTCTTCCTGATGTTAAGTATCTTCATCATCCTCCTGTAGCGATTAGGATAGACTTCGATAAATCATATATAAGGGTGTCAGGCAAAATATTACATACGTTGACTCGATCAGATTTCCAATTTTGTTCATGTTGTGGCCTTGTTAGAGCCAGAAATAAAGACACAAAGAGAGGAATTGAATTAAACAAATATATTAACAGAAACAGTAATACAAACGAGGGTGTTACAGCAAGAATGTTCGGCCCGACTGTCAGAGCTGACTACTAGAAACTTCAAAAGGCAGTGCCTATGCTTGCGTGGGTAAATTACAATGATAGATAGATAGATCAGAATGAAAAGCCAGATAGATAGATAGATAGATAGATAGATAATGATCATACTGAGATTGATAGATCAGAATGAAAAACCGGCAAGACAGACAGACAGACAGATAATGATCATACTGGGATAGATAGATAGATAGATAGATAGATAGATAGATAGATAGATTATGACGGTTTGCCTATTTTTCGTTCCGAGAAGCTAACCATTACACCTGGCCGTGTATACCTGTGTTATTAGGGCAGCTAACCAATCCCTCTTGAAGGCGCCTGCTCAGGCACATTTGTGCTTGTTCAACAAACCACCGTGGTTTATAATGCAACTCCATTGAGCGGACCTTTGTTACAGTTTCTAAGAAAAGAGCGCGTTATCTGGCGTGGTCAGCAGTGAGAACAAGGCCGGCACGTTTACGGTGACTTCCGACTTGCACTGCCATTGACGGCTTCCAAATAGTTCTGTCTACCCGCTTTCACTCACAAGGCTTATGTCAACCCGTCGTATGGTTTTTCAGACACTTTCCAATGGTACCACGCGCTGGGATCGATAACATCAAGCAGCCGCCTTCCTGATAGATCGACCACTATGAGTTTCGAACCCGCGTTCACATGGTCGGAAAGCGAACATTCTAAGTACACGGCCACGCACCCATATCATTACACCAACTGCATATACACATAAATACACATGATGATAGTATATTAAAGACTGTTGCTGTTTATTAACTGCCCTTTACTCTCACGACAAAAATAACGATAACAGTCTCAATATAAGATATTGCAGACCCTTCTTAAATTGTCCATTTTTGGGGCCCTTCCTAAACTGAACACGAGACGAACTGGGAGCTTTGGATCAGAGAATGGGGAAACTGATAAGCATGCATAAAACCTCCATATAGGATAGACGAAAAATCGTAACCAAGCAGACCCTGAATTTTCACTTATCGTGATGAATGTTCAAGGTGGGTGTTTGTCGTGTCCACCTCACACTTCCAGCGTAACTCGTATATACGATCCATATATCTTTAAGATGTTAGAAAAATAGTTCCTTGTACTTCTCCTTACTTTTTCTGATAGGTTCTATCTTTACAAGAGTCAGACCAATCCGAAAATGGAATACTGATGCTGAACTCTACCAGTCCTCACTTTCCAGTCTTTATAAATTACAAAAGGCTTGCAGTGGTGAACAGACGAGGTACATTCATTAGTTCCCGCAGTCCAGACCATTACAGATATGACCAGCCATGCCAATGGCACAATGCTCTCAGTAATCTACCGCTATTTCAAGGTCAGGAAAGTTCATAAGCAGACTATGATGGATTGATGCGAGAGCTGTGAAATACTGCATGCATTCATTTTAACTCTTATTATTAATAACTGCATTGGTTCTTTCCAGCATCACTGCTTCATATTCAGCCTATGAACTTTTCAGCCCACACTCCTACCTGGAAAGAAATAACACAGTTATTAATAAGAGGAGTTAAAATGAGCGCATTCAAGATTTCACAGTTTTGGTATCATTGCTTCATAGTCAGCCTATGAATTTTTCAGCCCACCCTCGTACCTGGAAAGAAATACAGTAGTTATTAATAAGGGGAGTTAAAATGAATGCATTCAAGATTTCACAGTTTTAGTATCATTGTTTCATAGTCAGTCTTTGAATGTTTCAGCCCCACCTCCCTCGTACCTGGAAAGAAATGCAGCAGTTATTAATAAGAAAAGTCGAAATTAATACATTCAATATTTCACAACTTTAGTATCGTAGCTTCATAGTCAGCCTATGAACTTTTCATCCCACCATAGTAACTAGAAAGAAATAATACAGTTATCAGTAAGATGAGTTGAAGTGAATGCATTCAAGATTTCTCAGTTCTAACTTTACTGCTTCATAGTCAGCCTATGACCTTTTCAGCCCACCCTCGTACCTGGTTACTATTAAAAGGCTTATGATGAACGAATTCTCAGAAAGTAGTAGAATGTGGTAAGAAATTAATTTTCTGTGGAAAAGGTGCCTAGATAATGACCACAAAGTCCACAAAGTAGCAGTTCTCGAGAAAAAAACGGGACTTCTCCTTGCATTTAGAATACGGAAGAAATGAGGATGATTGGACTCTGTGGAAGTAGCTCGGTGTGTCCTAGATGTAAAGGTCTGAACTGGCGGAAATAAGAATGGTACTTATCTGAACATTTGCCATGGAAATAGCGACAGCGCCGCGAAAGGATTCCCGTTTTGTGTCTGTAAGAAAGAGGCTGCACAGTTAAGATTAAGTCTTCCCCCAAGGCTAAAATGTGTTGATTGTGTAGCTCCAGGCTAAATATGACAGTACTACTTCATTTGAGGGTCTAATCTGACTCTTGTAGATATAAAGCATAGGAAGAGGAGTCTGGTACTTGCTGGAGCGAAAGAAAGAATTAAAAAAAACTTGTGTGGAGAGAAAAAAGATATCTGAAAAAAAAAAAGTCAAACTCTTTTCCTGTCATCAATTTCGAGCAATATTTTGAAATTATATTGTCTGAAATCGATCCTAAATGACATTTCAGGCAGGTGGATTTTACAAGCACACTAACTAAATTGGGCGGTAACTTCATGACGTAAAGCGCATTATTTGGCCATAATTCCTCCACTTAGTGTTACACATGAATAGGCCGACCGGTCGACCGCACATTCCAGGCGCTGACACGTACCCCTACTGGTTTTGATATTGAATAAACTATGTCATCTCTACGCAAAATGACACCTTATTTCTAAGTCAGTAATCTCGTCTACTGCAAGATACTGTTCTTTCTTTCATGGTTTTTTTCTTTAAGGATTTTTTTTCTTTTTCTTGTTTCTTTTTTTTTCCAGCTATCTGTTATTTATTTATTTATTTTTTTTATATTATTATTATTATTATTATTATTTTTTATTTTTTTTTTTTTTGCTTTATTCAGTCGTTTTTTAACTGGCATCCACGAATCTTTCTTCATCTACTTGCCTTTCTTTCTTTCTTTCTTTCTTTCTTTTCTTTCACCGTTTCTGTCGTTCTTTAATGATATTTCTCTTTCTTTATTTATTTAATGTTTTTTGTTGTCATTTATTTTCATTTATTCCGTCATGCTTAGTCAATTTTCATTAATTTTTATTCGTCTACTTGTCTTCATTCTCTACTACTGCTTTCTTTCTCCCCTCCTCTTTCTTTTTTCTGTCTTTTTCCTTTTCTTTCTTTACATTAATCGATTATTATTATTCATACTTTCTCTTTTAGCCACACATTTATTTATTTCTCTGTTCCTTATTTCTTTCTTTCTTTCTTTCTTTCTTTCTTTCTTTCTTTCTTTCATTTCTTTCTTTCTTTTTTTCATTCTTTCTTTCTTCCTTTTCTTTCTTTCTTTCATCCTTTCTTTCATTCTTTCATTCTTTCTCTTTTCATTTTTTCTTTCTTTCTCTTTTCCTTTCTTTATTTCTTTCTTTTTTCATTTCTTTCTTTCTTTCATTCTTTGTTTCTTTGTTTCTTTCATGCTTTCTTTCTTTCATCCTTTCTTCTTTTCTTTCTTTCTCTGTTTCTTCCCTACTTTCTTTCATTCATTCTTTTTTCATTCTTTCATTTTTTTTCATTTCTTTCATTCTTTTCTTTCTTTCTTTCTTCATTTCTTTCATTCTTTCATTCTTTCTCTTTTCATTTCTTTCTTTCTTTCTTTTTTCATTTCTTTCTTCCTTTCTTTCTTTCTTTTTTTCATTCTTTGTTTCTTTCTTTCATTCTTTCTTTCTTTCATTCTTTCTTTCTTTCATACTTTCTTTCTTTCATTTCTTTCTTTCATTTTTTTCATTCTTTCTTACTTTCTTACTTTCTTTCTTTCATTCTTTCTTTCTTTCTATTAGCCCGACTTTCCTTACCGTTTTCTTTCTTTTATTTCAATAAATATTTATCGCTTTTTTTTTCTATTTCGCTTCTATTTTTGCCTCGCCTTGTCTTTCTTTCTTTTGTTTAATGCATTCCATCAATGGTCTTTACGCACGGCCAGTCGTCTTCAGTTCTTTAAAACGACATGGGCGTTGCGAAGGTCTGTTCCTTCTTATTTTGACTTTTTTTTTATAAGCAGCCAAAAGCAAGATGAAACTTTCTTCCCAAACTTCTCAGAGTGTAACAACTTCACATCTATGTACAAATGGACACAATACAGTATTTTAAATTAAGCATGACATCCTCAGACGCTGAAGAGGGGAAAAAAACGTTCACAGTATTGTCCCTCTGCAAAATTAGACAGCCTTAAAACTCTCATAAAATCTTGCCAAACCATCTATAGTTAATATAACCAACAAAGACGTAGTATCTTGACAAAAGACTTCTTCTCCAGAGGCAAGCTATATATATATATATATATATATATATATATATATATATATATATATGTGTGTGTGTGTGTGTGTGTGTGTGTATTTCCAAATAAGAGAAAGAACAGATGGAGTAAAGATCTACAGTTCGTAGCATTTACTTTTTCAAAAGTGCTCAATACAAAGGAGAGCAAAATACAATAATAATATTTTTATTATAATAGATTATAATAAAAATATTTTACATCGCTACACAAAAGCTTTCATGTTTCAATAATACTGAAGTTATTTACACTCCCCACCCACGTTAACCTGCCAAAGGAGGTAACGATTTGTTTGTAAATTTCTGAAATAAGTCATTTTTATCACAAATTATCTACCTTCGCCTGAGGAAGTACAATTATAGTATTGAAACTTGAAATCTTTTGTGTAGCGATGTAAAATGTTTTTATTATAATCTATTTTAATACATACATATATATATATATATATATATATATATATATATATATATATATATATATATATATATATATATATTATGTATTAAAGAACAATCCCTCTTTATACAAGTCTCTTTGAAAAAAAAAAAGACTGAAAAGATACTGCGATTAAACTTCTTATTTAATTTTTCTTGTGATCGTATAAGAGTTTTCTTTTCTGGACATGGTCCAAATGTTCTGTATATCTGAGCGCTTTCGGTTATTCTGTTTGGCATTAACTGGACAGATTGTGTCCTTGGGTGGCAACTAATCTAGGTGAAGGACAAATCTCAATTCAAAACTTGAGGAGAGTCGTTTGAAGTCCGTATGGCACACTATGTGCATCAGTTCTCTTTCAAAATCTGTAGTTGGTTCTACACAAACCTTCACAAGTATAATGAAATCGTATGTGTGAATCATACGATGAAAACGACAGAACAGTCCAGTATATATATATATATATATATATATATATATATATATATTATTTATTTAAAAAATATGATTCCAACTCGCAACATAAGAGGTCTCATGTTTCAAAACAAGAGCCGAAAACTTCAATATAATTATTTGAATTAAATTGAGTTAAAGTAAGCTCTGTTCCATCTTCAAGCGAAATTTTTTTTTGGAATCAAAAATTTCGCGAGTTGGAATCATATTTTTAAATAAATAATTATATTTATACTCTACTTTTGTATCGAGCACTGTTTTTTAAAAAATAATAACTAAAATACTAAGGAACTTTGGATTATTTACCTAACCAGTTCGTTCCTATTTTCTATATATTTTCACACACACACACACATATATATATATATATATATATATATATATATATATATATATAGTGTGTGTGTATTTGGGTAGCAAACCTTCTTTTATAGAAATCTCATTAAAAACCACTTATGTACTACTGTTAAGCTTCTAATTTAATATTTCTTATGTTAGCAAAAGTTATTTCTTTTCTGGACATAAAGTGTTTAAAATTGTCCAAATTTTCTATATATCCGGTTTTTTTCGGCTATTCTATTAGTCATTTTCAAGGATATTTTTAGTATTTAATTTTTTAAACTGAATGTTTAGATTTTTCTATATGTATCTGGAGTGACAGCATTTTTATTATTATTATTATTATTATTTTCCAAGCACGGTCATCACATTGTGGCCGTGATCATAGTTGCTTTTATTGTATGTTGGCTTTTTCTTTTTTATTTTTAAAGCTTCCATTATGTTGAGCACTTTTTTACATGTGGATGAGGATATTTTATTTGTATTTTCTACAAGCATGCTGCGAAGGGAGTGTGGTAGATTTTCACGGGTGTTTAAAAGTGTCCTAATTGAGCTATGGTCAGAGAGATGTAACGTGAGTCTTCTTGATAGGCATGTAGTGGTATGTCTAATATAATTATTCATGAATATTTAAAAACTGTAAACATCACTGTGAATGTAGTTAAACAAAAGTGGTATCATAAGAAATTACGTCTTATTGCGAACACATAAGTCCATGTTTACCATCAGCTTTTTTTTTAAAGAATTTTAATTATTATCTTTTTATTACAAATTATAATATTTTTTGCTTTTTGCCCCCAGTACTTTGCTTTGTTGTCAAAGACAAGTTTGTTTATTTGTTTAACAGCACACCAACTTAACTTTCTTGAGAGCTTTAAATTAATAAAAATATATGTTATTCTGCTTCCACAATTGAGTACATGGTAGATGATACTCAGCTTTTGTGCATATACATATTTGTGTGGACATAACTAGAAGCAGTGATATGTGTGTTTTATGTCATAGTTTTTTAAGTTATATTTTTGAAATCAGTTTGATTTAAGAAATTTTTAAGATAGCGGCTCGGATTGAGGGATCAGAAAGCCGACTTCGAATTCTAGTCAAATCCATTACATTCACTTACGTGTTAATACAAATGGGAAAGGTATGAATCCCCCCCCCGCTATGGTTAAATAGCAGGACAGACTGGGTTCTATAGCCTTGGATGGCAACTGGTCTACCGCAGAAAGAAATGGCAACCTACTGCTACAAAAAATTGCTTCGTCAGTCATGTATCGAAAGATACATGGCTGACGAGGCAATAAATTATTACATTCAATATAAATTTGAAGTAATAAAAATCTAATATATGTTATTCTGCTTTCACAATTGATTACATGGTAGATGATACTCAGCTTTTGTGCATATACAAGTTTGTACGGACATAATTAGAGGCGGTGATAGTTATTTTTTATGTTGAAGATTTGTTGAAGTTATATTTTGGAATACTGTTTCTTTTAGAAAATTTAAGATATTATATGGAGTAATACCAAGAAAGACTTCTTTTATGTTGGTTGTTTTTGTTTAGCGACATAACAACCCCTATGGATTCTTTGTACGGACATAATCAGAGGCGTTGATATGTGTGATTTTTGAGTTTTGTTGAAGTTATATTTTGGAATACAGTTTGATTTAAGAAATTGTAATACAAAAATGTGTTGCTTGTAGTTTTTTTTACAAAAAATTATTGCTGGTAATTTTTTTTTATTACAAAAATATATTGCTGGTATTTTTTTAAATTTTTCTTTTACAAAAATATATTGGTATTTAATATTTTTTTTACAAATATATATAGCTGGTATTTTATAACAAAAAATATATTGCTGGTATTTTTTAACAAAAATATATTGCTGGTATTTTTTAAATTTTTTTACAAAAATATATTGCTGGTATTTTTTAAATTTTTCTTTTACAAAAATATATTGCCGGTATTTAATTTTTTTTTACAAATATATATTGCTGGTATTTTTTAACAAAAAATATATTGCTGGTATTTTTTAGATTTTTTTACAAAAATATATTGCTGGTATTTTTAAAATGTTTTTTTACAAAAATATTCTGCCAGTACTTAATTTTGTTTTACAAATATATATTGCTGCTATTTTTAACAAAAATATATATTGCTGGTATTTTAAAAAAATATATTGCTGGTATTTTCTAAATTTTTCTTTTACAAATATATATTGCCGGTATTTAATTTTTTTTAACAAATATATGTTGCTGGTATTTTTTAACAAAAATATATATTGCTGGTATTTTTGAAATTTTTTTACAAAAATATATTGCTGGTATTTTTTTAATTTTTCTTTTACAAAAGTATATTGCCGGCATTTAATTTTTATTTCACAAATACATATTGCTGGTATTTTTTAACAAAAAATATATTGCTGGTATTTTTTAAATTTTTTTACAAAAATATATTGCTGGTATTTTTTTAATCTTTCTTTTACAAAAATATATTGCCGGTATTTAATTTTTTTTTTACAAATATATATTGCTGGTAATTTTTAATTTTTTTTACAAAAATATATTGCTGGTATTTTTTTAATTTTTCTTTTACAAAAATATATTGCCGGTATTTAATTTTTTTACAAAAATATATTGCTGGTATTTTTACTATAAAAATGTATTTTTAGACTTTCATAGTGCTTTGATCCCAGTTTGCTCATAGTTGGGACCCTAACAGGTGCTACTACCCCGAGTCAGGGCAGAGCTGGGTACAACAGCAATTAAGAGGTGGTTCCACGCTTCTCAAAACCTCCTGAACAGAGAGTCCTTACTGACGAATATAGTTTACCATCATGTGCAGGACGTCCAAAGAAATGGATCTAATGACTGCGAAAGTTTTCTCCGTCAGTATGGTCCAGTCAAAACTGTGCAGCAGGAAAATGCTTCATAGTTGAGAGAAGTCGCTCAAGATAGAGTTGAGGACTTGTACTAGTCAGTGAAAATATAATTGTTTATATAATTTGAAGAGGAATATATTTATTTTAGATGAAGTATCAATAGTCTGTACAGCAGTCGTGGAAGCTCAACAAATATAGATATATAACAAACGTGGTGTTGTACTGTTAATATTTATTGATATAATGGAATATGCGTACACCTGTTTTCCCCGTCACTGGAATATGATTGGCTGGTGTCCGTCATAAATACCGACGGACGTGTAGGAGCGTCAGAAGAGCCTTAGTCTGAGAGCTAAGTCTATAACGACACCCATTGGACTACGCCATTGAT